TAGAATTACTCAAAACATTGGCATCTACAAAGAGCTGAAATATACATTTTGGATGAACTGACCCTTTAGGCTCAGTGGAAAAAATGCCTTTAATCCAGAATTTTCAGCATCTTTAAAATGTGATCTTTATTTTCTTTGTTTTTAAAGGGTCTGTGTATGATTTTCACATATTTTTAGATATAAATGAAAATGAGATTAGCAAATACGATGATTTTATTTATGTGGTTTTGGGGGATGTTTCTGGGATTACCAAGATTTCTAAAAAGCAAACATTACCAAAATCTAGGTGTTTTTTCTTACTAGTATTATTTTTATTCACTTAGCTAAAAGTAAATGAATCATATAATGACAAGGATGACAGGAATAACAGTCAGGAACTAAGGCTGGGAGATCTTCAAGGCATATAAGGATTGAAAGAGGATAGGAGAACAAAACTGCCATGTTGTACCACTATGGTACATTAAGTGTGAAAGCAAAGTGGAAATTTGTGCAAAAGTGATGGCTGTTGAAGGTCGGTCTAACCATAGTTTTATATCGAGGTACAGTGAAGTCTACTCTCTGCTGGACAACAGACTGTGATGGGGCTCAGTTTATCATGTGAATGAAAAACTGAAAACCAGTAATCACAACCAGTAAACCACAAATCTTTCAGCCGGTTGGGCTTTGAAGTCTTTTCACCATGCAAATTTTCATATTCATGACCTACTACAACCATATGTCCATAGTTAAAAGGGCATTCACAGGAGAACTGTAGACATACCAGAAGGGGAGAATGTAATAGTATACTGCATGACATTTCATATAACGCTCTTCGTCTGTTTGTATTTACAGTGGTATACAGACAAGAACCATGCAATCTCAGGATCTGGAACAAAGCATATATACACCCATATGACTCGTTTCTTGAAAAGATGTTTTTCTCTGCCTTGAAATATGTTTGGTACTTTTTAGTCTTTTTTATTTGTGTACGCCAGACATGAATGAGTAGCAATGCACTATCAAGACTGAAGCCATGTTGTTAACAAATGTCTCTCTAATTATTTATGGTAACAATTACATGTATAGAAATGTGACAGCTGGCTCCTCTTCCTTTGTCAACCAGATGAGATCAACATTATTTAGAGGGTTCAGGTTCACATTCTCTTTGTTCAGCATAAACCCTAATAATTCATTCCTAAGAACAGAAGTTGATAAACGCTATAGGATGGGAACTGCTTTCCTCTACAATAGCTGACAATTTTAAGAATCCAGTGGTTGCTTCATCTTCCTACCGTGTTTCCCCGAAAATAAGACACTGTCTTATATTTTTTTTGCCCCCAAAAAACACACTAGGTCTTATTTTCAGGGGATGTCTTATTTTTTTTTTTTATGTGCAACAAAATGTACAACAATCCAAAGTTATCTGGTATCACTCCGCCTGTCACAGTAACCGGCGCTATAGAGGAATATCGGCTAATGCGGTTTTGCTCCCTCCGCTGCCGCAGCCTTGCTTTCTACAGCGCCGGCTTCCTTTGCCACCAGGGACAGAGGTACCAGCGGTGCAGCAGTGGGGACATCAGACAGTGGACAGCGTGGTAAAGTACGGCACCATTTACCGGTACACATTACAGTACGGTACCATTACATTAAGCAGTGCCTTCAGGGGAACAGCAGTTGGTGAAGTCTGGAGGGAGTCCCCTGTCATCCCCTTAATACAGTATGTCCCTGCAGGCTGATACCATCTCTCCTGCAAGTTCCCCCTCACATGCTACCACCAAACTAGGTCTTATTTTCGGGGTAGGTCTTATATTACAGGAATCTTGAAAAAAAAGTACTAGGTCTTACTTTCGGGGTAGGTCTTATTTTCGGGGAAACAGGGTAATGTCCATCCAAAATGGAAAGATTGGTACTGTTTTCTTAGCATTTGAAGGAAAATGTTACTGAGACAAATATGTAGACTTCCTTAGCTGACCTCCTTCTGAGAATGCTAACTGCCTGTCTGCCTTTGACTTCAATACTTTTTGAAGATTTGAGGGTGAAGATGACAGCCAGACAGTTAGCATTATCAGAAAGAGAGGTGAGCAATGATAGCCCACATAGACTTCATAGACTTCATCCAGGACCAATGAATAGTGGCACTGTGGAAAACCTATATAGTAATAAAATATTTGATTTTGACTACTAATGTTTCTTTGTTTTCTGATGCTGGATACAGCTGATGCATCTCGGAACTGGAAGATTACAATACCATGTCAGATAACCTTAGCACCCAATCAGATATCACTTTGTGTCTACTGACTGTAGGAAACTGCTAAACAGTGAAATCTAATTGGATGTTACAGCTCATGGTATATCCTATTTTTAACTACTAAAAGCCTAATTCTGCAATTATCCAGAGATGTTCAATACTGTTGAAGTTGAGACTTGTTTAAAGGTATAGACTAGTACACCTTTTGAAAAATAATAATAAATGGTCACACATTTATAAAAGAACAAATGTGCAAAGTCTCTTTCAGACTCTTCCCCCAGCTCCAGGTCCATATGGAGGGATTGGCTTTCTGTTATGGGGTCTACAGGTGCATTACCATCATAGCACTTGTGCTCTATTGTGATCTACAGATCCCTGTGTCAGATGGGACCATGATTCAAGTAAGGGAGAGGGGAAGGCAGTTTGAGGGTAAGGGGAAGGGGAATGTGACCATGTTTCATATTTTCATTATACACCCCAACTTGAAATATGGTCAAAAAGGTGAACTATGCCTTCAAGTTGAGTTGCATCTATGGGGGTGCAGGGTTTTCAACCTAGGCTGCCCACACTTAAAATTGAATCTCAGAACAGCTCTGTCTCATCTCACCTCCAGGTGTCCTGTAGCTCACAGGTAAACTGGGACAGGGCTGATAACATTGCAAGAGCACGGGAAGATACAAACTCACTGGATTTCTGGCACCATAAACAGGTATAATCAATGGGGGGAAATATGAGAATTTCATTGTTATGGTTTAAATGGACTTAACATTTTTTTTTATTGCTGTAATAGTCCCCAAATTTAGTGACACTTTGTGAATGCAATGTTATCCCTGCTGATTAAAATAATAGAACTTCACTTGTTCTGAGATTTTTTTTTTAAATATTAAGAAAATTGCAAGTCCAATCTACACTATGTTCATGATAGATGGATAGTTATATGACAGTAGGGGGAGATTTTATTTTCCTAAAATGGACTTTGCCATAACTTTAATCAGACACGGAACCCAGCATGTCATATGACCATGGATTTAAGTGAGTATATTTGGGCATTTTTAGGTAGATCTTTTTTTTATCCAACAATTTTTTAGAGGTAGGTAGGGTGTAAAAGGGGTCGGCTCTCTAATTTGAAAAATTCCCCACTGAAAACATTTCTTTAAATATCCCTTATACATACCTTAAAGCAGATCTCCAGAATTATTTACTTAACCCTTGCAGTGGGGCTACCCCCCTACTGCAAGGGTTAACTCCTGTTTGTGTCTAGCCAAAAAAAACCCCAAATGAATGACTCACTCAAAGCTCCATGCCTGCTTCTTCTTTCACCGGTCCCTGGAATGTCTCTCCCCCTCCTCTGCAGCGGTTTAAAGTTCAGGAAATCAAGCACAAATAATCGTTGTGCATGAATGTGAGGACGCTGAGGAGCATTCCAATATGCTGTGGAGGAGGGGTCAGGCTGAAGGCAGCACAGTGACAGCTGTCTGGCTTGGAACTCAGGGTGAGTATATCTTTATTATTTTAGCACTTAACCCTAACCTAGCCCCACTGCAGGGGTTAATAAAAAAATTATGGAGTTCTGCTTTAAATCAAGCAGACTTCTGGTTAAGTAAGTGATGTCATTGGGTCCACTTCCTCTATGTATTTAGAATATGGCAAGGAATTTAAGGCTTATGGGCCTTTAAGGAATACATACTGTATAAACAGTATATGATGAGACTGGAGGCCCCAAGTGGCAGAAGAGCCCAGTAGAGCCAACCTGTGTTTTAAGAGGAGTCGGGTGCTGAAGAGTGTATGGAACACATACTACAAAACACAATAGTTACATAGGGTCTGCTGGATTAAACCACAGAGAGCAGCAGGGGACCAGGAATCTGACGCTCTTGGAAGTGTTGGATTCTGATGGTACTTCCGGTAGCAGTTTCTCTTCACTACAGTGGAAAGTATTGGCACGCCTAATGGGAGAGAGGAGTATTTACTATGTTGCTTTCATGTGAACCTATGGGGACAGATATGGTACTGCTTATTTCAGTGCAAGCTCCAAAGCAGGATTCCTGGTCTCCCTCCTGAATCAATGACCTGGAACAAGTAAAGTCTCAGCTGTCATCCTGCATACTTATTCTGGGTCAAGATGATAATCTTGGTGGCTTCTCCTTTCAAAGCAAGCATTTAATGATAGCTACTCCATTTCTGTGCTCACAGGTTCCCTTTAAATAGTAACAGAATAGAACATGATAGTGGATATGTCAAATTTCCAATGTAGCAAATTTGTAAAAGTTTACTCTTCCCCAATCAATAGGCCCAAGGTGGGACTGGATATATCTACTTGCAAAGCCCTTTATATTTTCCTCCTTGGCTTTCTAATACAGGAGTGCTCAGGATGGACTTCATTGTAAAGCCATATAATCAATGCATGGCTCATTATGTTTACTTATATGTCATCAACCCTTCATAGTGCCACTGGCATGGATAACAACACCCTCGGTGTTTGGATACACTGTTTGCAACGTGCGTCATCAGAAGCATTTTTATTCAGTTCATTTGAGACAAGCTCACAACCTACATCTTGGATTCTGTCAGTGCTCATCTTTATCTCAGTGACAATTCCCCAGGTTACTTGTCAAAGACACCAGCACGGACTGATGACATATGTGAACTCCGATCATGTAAAGCATTTAAATGCCCTAATATTCTCCCTATCATATTATCATTAAAGTCAACATATAAAGTTCATTAAGGCCTATTAGCAGTTGAACAAAAACTGACGAGCCAAGTAAAGTTAGGCAGAAATGTCAGAATTAAATAAGAATCTGGTGGAATCGAGTGGATAGTGCAAAGAGCAATAAGGAAAAAGCACAATATCCCAGAAATAAGGTCTTATTTATTAAAAGTCCAAAACTAAATCTGATTGGTTGCTTTGGTTATTGTTGTGTTTCTTGGCCTAAATTATGTACCCCTTTACCAAATTAAGTTTAACCCCAGATACTTCCTTATGGGAAACTCTGCTCTCAGCAAGGTCTGACATAACAGGCAGCATGCTGGACCATTGTACAATGGTCTGCTGGTTTTCCACAGAGTGCAGCGATCCAACTCTGCAGCATACATGAAGAAAGCATTTTTCTGCTGCTGCAGGGGGCCTATTTATAAAGAATACAAAGGAGGGACATTTGCTGCATCCTGAATGTGTTCATTCATTTTGGGCTAAGGCTTCAGTTGGCCTTTAAAGAAACCACTATCTGCTCAAACTAGGGATACCATTTTTTCAAGACTGAGTGCGAGAACCGATACTTTTTCTCAAGTACTCGCTTATACCAACTACCAATACCTTTTTAGTGTCATGTGACAGTTTTTCTAAAACAATACAGACTAATGATTTTAGGACAGTGGTGGAGCACCAGGGCCTGGTCGCAGCTGCAGCCGCTGTAACCCTAGTAGTTCTGCCACTGACTCCATTCTGACAAATGTTAGAAATACATTATACAGCAATGCAGAATACCACCAGCTATATAGGACTACAAATCCCAGAAATACATTATACAGCAATGCAGAATAATATGAAGCTACATACTCTGTGTTGCTCTGGGGTGGTGGCCTGTCTCCAGGGTCCCAGGAGGGTTGTGCGGGATCTCAGGTGGGCTGTGCAGAGTCTCAGGAGGGCTGTATGTGGTCATAGTAGGGCTGTGCGGAGTCTCAGGAGGGCTGTGCAGGGTTTCAGGTAGGTTGTGTTGTGTCACAGTAGGGCTGTGTGGGGTCTCATGTGGGCTGTGCGGGGCCTCAGGTGGGCTGTGTGGGGCCTTAAGAGGGCTGTGAAGGGTGCAAGGTCTCAGGTGGGCTATGCGGGGTCTTAGGTGGAGTGTGACAGCACTGTGATTCCTCCTGCTGGCTTCTACCTCAACACTGTGTCCTGT